GAGAATTGATACTTTTGAGCTTTGGTGTTGGAGAAGAGTGCTGAATGTGCCATGGACTGCTAAGAGAACAAACAGATCCATCCTGGAGAGGGGTAAACCGGACTGCTCTTTGGAGGCAAGGATTCTGAGGCTTCGTCTGACATAATTTGGTCATGATGTAAGGAGAGACCAGTCATTGGAGAGGGACATCATGCTTGGGAGGGTGGAGGGCAGGTGCAGGAGGGGAAGGCCCTCTGAGAGATGGATTGATTCAGTGACTGGGGCAATCGGGATGAGTGTGTTGGAAGCAATGAGATTGGCACAGGACAGAGCAGAGTTTACAGCTGTTGTACATAGGGTCGCTATGAGTGGCAAGCGACTGGACAGCACATAACAACAACAACACAGTGACAAAGACAATACAGAGTCACAAGATTAAATACTTGGTAATAAATCTAACCAGAAGCACAAAGGATCTATTCAAAGAAAATTACAAAGCATTACTACAAGAAACCAAAAGAGACCTGGAGAAATGGAAGAATATACCTTGCTCATGGATAGGAAGACTCAATATTGTGAAAATAATACCACCAAAGGCAATTTACATATTCAATGGAATCCCAATACAAATACCAATTCAATTCTTCAACAAGATGGAAAAGGCAATTTCCAATTTTCATTTGGAATGGAATAAGCAAAGCACTCCTTAAAAAGACAAACAAGGTAGGTGGAATCTCACTTCCTGATTTCAAATCCTACTATAGTGCTGTAGTGGTCAAGACAGCGTGGTACTGGTATAATGACAGACACATAGATCAATGGAATAGAATTGAGAACCCAGAAATCAGCCCATCTATCTATGGTCAACTGATTTTTACAAGGAGATGAAATCAGATAAGTGGGGAAACTACAGCCTTTTAAACAAATGGTGTTGGAAAAATTGGAAAACTATCTGCAGAAGACTCAAGCAGGAGCCACACCTCACTCCATACACAAAAACTAACTCAAAGTGGATAATGGACCTACGACTAAAACCAAGGACTATAAACTTCATTAAAGAAAAACTTGGAAGAACTCTAGAAGTCCTAATCCACGACATGAACAGTCTTCCAAGTATCCTGAAAACCTACCACCAGGAGAGGATAAATAAATGAATGGGACCTTCTACGAATCAAATCCCTATGAACATCCAAAAAGTTCTCCAACAGGGTAAAAAGAGAAGCCACAGACTGGAAAAAATATTTGGTAATGACATGTCCGTTAAGGGACTTATATCTAGAATTTATAAAATACTTGAGCACAACAACAAAATAAAGGAAATCAAACCAATTGAAAAATGAGCACAGGATATGGACAGACACTTCACCAGAGAAGACATTCAGATGGTGAACAAACACATGAAGAAATGTTCAAAATCCCTAGCTCTAAGAGAGATGCAAATCAGAACTGCTTTGAAAAATCCTCTCACTCCAGTAAGAATAGCAAAATTTAACGGAACAGCAAACATCAAATGCTGGCAAGGTTGCAGAGAAACTGGAACCCTTATTCACTATTGGTGGGAGTGTAAAACGGTGCAACCACTATGGAAGGAGATATGGCGCTTTCTCAAAAAGATTCAGATAGAAATACCATTTGTCCCAGTAATTCCACTACTGGGAATATACCCTAAAGAGACCAGAACTGCCATCCAAACAGATATATGCATACCCATATTTATTGCGGCTTTGTACACAAAAGCAAAGAGCTGGCAACAACCCAAGTACCCATCATAAAACGAATGGATAGAGAAGCTGTGGTATATTCACACAATGGAATACTATACTCCATTGAAAAACAAGGAACTCATGCAATATTATTCAATATGGGTGACCCTGGAGGACATTATGCTGAGTGAAATATCTCAGTAAGAAAAGTATAAATACTGCATAGTGCCACTGTTGTAAAGTGGGTCTGACATCGGAGTTGGGGGGAAACTAACAGGGTATAAATAATGTATACTGCATTGAAACAGATGAGAGAGAGAACTGTTTTGGAGGAATATATGATTAGGTATTATTGTCATAACAAGAGTCCAGGAAGAAAACTGCATAGTGCAGTGGACTGGTGGGAGGGGTGTTGTATAACAATGAAAGAATTTTACCTTTTTTTTACTTTTCAAAGAGAAAAGTGAACTGGGAGGGAGGGGTCGGGAGGAAGGAAATTGTACAACAATGAATGACTGGAAATCCAAAGTCTCTGTAAACTTTCATTAAAATGAAAAAAAAAAAAGATTAATTGCATTGTGAAAATCTGCTGTTGGGGATCTTGCCAAAGTACTGAAAAGCAACATTGTCAGTCTAAAGACTAAGTTATGCCTGATCCAAGCCATGGTCTTCACAATTACTTGGTATGCATCCTAAAGTTGGACAATGACTAAGGATGATAGAAGAATTGTTGCGTTTGAGTTGTGGTGCTGGAGAAGAGTGATGAATATACCATGAACTGCTAGGAGAACAGACAGGTTGATCCTAGAGAGAGTGAAACTAGGCTGCTCCTTGGAAGCAAGGATTTTGAAGCTCCATTGGACATACTTAGAGCATGTTACAAGGAGGGACTCACCAGTTCTTAGAGAAGGACATCATGCTTGGAAGGGTGGAGGGATAGTTCAAAAGAGCAAGATCCTTGATGAGATGGATTGATTCAGTGACTGAGGTAATGGGAGTAGGTGTGTCAAAGACAATGATGTTGGCTCAAGATAGTGCTGGGTTCAGAGCTGTCATACATTAGGGTCGCTATGAGTCACAAGTGACTGGACAGCACAATAAAAACAACAAATGACACAGGAGATTTCTCATCTTTCTCCTGAGGACCCTCTTATGGATTAAAACAGCCAGAGAGGCTTGACCTTTGAATTAGTAACATAACTCCCTATGGCCTAGTCCACCACAACTCCCTAAAGGATTAATGCACCATGTGAACCTCAGCTTCAGATCTCTGAGATCAGAAGAACTAGATGGTGCCTAGCTATCACTACTTGCTAACCACTCCTAAAGGGATCACAATAGAAAATCCTGGATAGAGTGAGGGAAATGCAGAACAAAAAGCAAAAATACAGAAATGGGCAAGATTGCTGATGCAATAGAGACTGGTGGAACCCCTAACAGTATGGTTCTTAATTACTCTTAGAGTCTGGAGCAAAATTCATCCTTGGTGCTCAACTTTCAGACAAACAATAGACAAGCTTTTAAGGGGAGAAGACGTATAAGAAGAATACTGTATATACCATGCACTGCCAAAGAACAAGTTCAACCAAGATGCTTTTTAGAGACAAAGATTTTTAAACTTTGTCTCATACTTGAAGCACGTTGTAGGAAGGGCCAGTTCTTGGAAAAAGGCATCATGCTGGGGAAGGTGGAGGGCCAATGAAAGAGAGGAAGGCTCTCAACAAGATGAGTTGACATAATGACTGTAATAATGGGTTTGAGCATGATGGAGATTTGTAGTCGGTGTAAGATAGGACAAGGTGGCTTGGTAGGGAACTCTGGTGGCCTAGTGGTAAGAAACTGCACTGTCAACCAAAAGGTGCATGGTTCAAATCCACCAGCTGCTCTGCATCAAGAGGACCACACTTAGAATTAGTGCCTCAAATTCAAGTATCCCATGAACTTCAACTGACAGAAACGAAATAAGCCTGGTAAATCTTAAGGGTGACCCAAACTAATACTTTTAACTAGTTTTATAAAAAGCCTAGTAAAGCCCTTCTAAACAACATGTATTCTTTAGGTTTTCTAACATTTCCAGCAAATCAGTCTTGAAAGATTAAAATAAGCAACAACAACAACAACAAAAAAACACAGTTAAGACTCAATTCAGATAATTCCTAAAATAATAAGAACTATAATTGTAAAATGCACGTGGAATTCAGATTGTAACCATGAGACTCAGACTCTGAATGACAGGGTCAAAAATCAAACTAGGAATCAGAATGAAATAATATCTGTGCTCAGAATGAGTTGAGAAATAACACCTGTAATGTGTTTTTGAACCAGCACACCATTTGAAGTTTCAGTTTTTATTTGGAGAGTGGGAAAGATGTGCAGCAACCCAGAGAATAATCCAAAGTTGTTGGTCTTTGGTCTGAATTTGACTCTAGAAGTGAAGACAGCAGGGAATTCTTTCCTGAGCATTTTATATGCGTTTATCTGTGAGGATACAGAGTTCTTGGTTCTTCAATCAACAAGAGAATACCAATGACTTGGAGAAATTACACATGTTTAACGTTTTCCTCTCTCTTCCTGGTGACAGAGTTCACGGAGTCTCATTCGCCAATCCAGGATCAGTCCGTATTTAACATGTGACGTATATGAAGAAGTCGTTCTGCCTGAAGAGTCAAATGCAAGCAGACAGAAGACTTTGTCCCCCAAGGTCTTGACAGCTAAGAAGGTAAGAGCCCAACACTAAGAGGCAGGCTAGTGGCCATATATTAGAGCCATAATTTCTTCTTACACCCTTTCCTCTTGCTTTGAGTCAACTGGGATCATTTGAGAAAAGAGCTATAATTCTTGCCTTTTGGTAGACATAGTTATTGACATTTTCCATAAAGTAATAAAAATCACAATTAAAATAAATATTATTTAAAAATAATATTTTGTAGATGTTTTCAATTATTTCAGGAAGAGAAAAATTAAGATATTTGAGCAGAAGTGAAGTCTCTAAAGTTACAAATCCCATCATCTCAAAGGATAGAGCATATAATGATGTTTGTTATTGGTAATATCTGGTGATAGGATTTTTCTTAGTCTATGTTTATGGGAGATACTGGTCTGTAATTCTCACTGTGTTCGTTCCTTTACCTGGATTTATTATCAGAATTATGCTTACTTCATAAACTGAGTTTGAGGGTATTCCACCCTTCTCCATGTTCTGGATTCTGAATGTTTGGTAGAATTTTCTAGTGAAGCTGTTTGGTCCAAGACTTTTTTGTTGGAAGTTGTTTTATGACCTGTTCATTTGTGTGTGTTGGGGGTGGGGGGTGCTTATTCACATTTTCTGCCTCATTCTGTGTTAGTTTAAGTAAACCGTCTGTTTCTAGAAATTTGTCCATTGTTTTTGCTTTCAATTTTTTAGTACATATTCTGTTCCTAATATTTTTCTTTTCATTGGTTTTGTTGTAGCATAACATGTTTAGTTTCTTATATTATTTATGCATTATCCTTCTATCCTTTGCTAAATTAGCCAGAGGTTTGACAATTTTGTTAATTTTCTGAAGAAGCAACATATAATCTTATGTGTTTCTATTGTTTTTGGTTTTGTTTACTTTTGCTCTTTTATTATTGTCTTTTTTTTGGAAACTGTAGGCTTTTTTTGTGTTCGAACTTTTGGACTTGGTGAGTTAAGATGTTAGTTTTGAGTCTTCTTTTTTGGTGTGTGTGGTTTTTGCTATAAATTGACCCCTAAGCATTGCTTTTGCCTAGTCTCTAAGGTTTTAATTAGCAGCACAACAACCTATGGACTACATTACCAGAGCTCCTTGGTCTCAAAGGCTTTTATATATTTTCATCTTGCACTGCTTCCCCAAAGGTCATATGCCTCAAACAGTTTAAATCAACTAGTGGCTCCAAGGAATCATTTGTTGTTAGCTGTCTTATTGGACTTTGTTGTTGCTGCTGGGGTGAGATGCTACCTTATTTTCTGATTTACAATTGTCTAAGAGCTAAGGCTTGGAAGGGTGGAGGGACAATGCAGAAGAGGGAGACCCTGGATGAGATGGATTGACACAGTGACTGGGGTAATAGGGGCAGCTGTGTTGGAGACAGATTGGCTCAAGATAGAACAGGTTTCAGAGCTATTGTGCATAGGGTTGCTATGAGTCACAGGCAACTCATCGACACATCATCACAACAAATAATAGCTAATGAACTTGAATAGTTGTTCATGTGTTTGTTGGTTAAGATTGTCTTCTCTGGTGAAGTATATTTTCATATCCTATGCCTATTTTGCAATTGAGTTGTCTTTTTCTTTATGAGATATTATAGTTTTCTACAAATTTTAGAGATCAGTCCCTTGTCAGATATGTCACTATCAAATATTTCCCCATTTTGTAGGTTCTTTCTACTTTTTTTGAGAAGTCTTTAGATACACATCAGGATCTTATTATAACAAGATCCTAATAGCTTAGTTTCTCTTCACTGATTGTGTATTTTGGGTTATATTTGATAGTTTATTTTATGCCATAAACTACAAAATTATTATTAAAATTATTATTATTATAGTTTTAGGATTTATGTATTTAACTATTGATTATGAAGTCAATCCAAACTCCCAAGCCCTAACTCACTGCTGCCAAATTGATTCCAACTCCTAGCCACCTTCCATTGGACTTCTGAAGCTGTCAATCATTATAACTCTTGGCAACCTCATGTCTGTCAGAGTAGATCTGTATTCCATAGAAGGTTTAATGGCTAATTTAGGGGAAAGTAGATCACTAGCACCCTTTTCTTCCAAGGCATTCTCAAGAAGACTTGGATCTTCAGTTTATCACTAAGCAGACCAGTATGCTAACCATTTGCACCACCCAGATATTCCATCTCTCCTTAACATATGTGCAAAAACGAGCTACTGTAACACTTTGCCTGACCTCAGCTTTTACCACTCAAAGAAACACAAGTTTTCCTTGGCAGGCAATATTTCTTAGGGTCTGACTACCAACTCTAGCGCATACTTGAATCAGAGAATCTTCCTGGTTATGGTTCCCTGGCACTTACCAACTGTCTGACTTGGGTCATCTTCATCTACATTTCATAGAAACAAGGAAATTTTGTCTAGAAAAAGAATCTATAAATTTTCTTTAATTTTGCTCTGCATGAGAGGAAAGTAATTAAAAAGAAGTCATATACATACAAACAAATCCGTTTTCACACTTGAATGAAGGGTGTCTCAGCTAAGCAGGTACTTATAGTTTCAGTGGATTAAGTGTCCTAACTTTAATACCATTGAATGATAAATATTGCTATTAACATGTTTTAGTAGGGGAGAAGTAGGTGCTAATTATTCCATTATATTAGTTGAGGACCTAATCCTTGTTGCTGCTGTTGCTAGGTGCTGTTGAGTTACCTCCTGCTCATAGGGAAGTCTGCCTGACCCTGTACCATCCTTACAATTTCTGTTGTTTGAGCCTTTTGTTACACCCACTATGCCAATCCATTTTGTTGCGTGTCTTCCCATAACTGAAATTCTGCAGAGTAATGAGAATGTAATTTAAAAAAATACCTTACAATTAGTTTATTCCTATATATACACAAATCAAAGTATATTATAATAGCAAAGCAGTGCTAAAGGATTTTTCTCCTGGGTCCTAAGCCCTACACAATTCCTTCCCAAGAAAGATCCTAGGCTAGTGGGTATTAGGCCTGACACATTTCCCAGGAGTTCATTTAATTTCAGATGTTAATCAGGAGACTGTGCTAACTTCTTTCTAAAACACAAGTGTTTGTTGTTGTGTGCTGTCAAATCTGAACCTGACCCTTCAGTGGGTTTTCAGAGTCAGTAAATGCAGTAAATCACACAGAAGGAGATTGCCCATCCTTCTCCTGCAGAGCAGCTGATGGATTCAAACTGTGTGCCTTGGAGATTGCAGTTCTGCTTCTTACCACTAGGCCACCAGATAAGGAATGAAAATCTGTCAGGGTGTGTATTAGCACACTGAGTATAGAGAGGGACTGTACAGAGTGCAGGAAAGAGTAGGGGAAGGGAAGTTGAGGAAGTAGGGAAAGAAGTTCTGTTTCTTCCACGTACTTTCAGAAAGAGATTAGGTTTGCTTTTCTTATACTACCCTGTGGTTGGGTCCTGTGATAACTTGCCCAGGTTGCTCCTAACCAGTATGACCTAGGGGAATGGGAAGGGCCTCAAAAAAGAGCCCCATATCCCAGAGAGAATCCAGATATCACAGATTCCTCCTCTAAGGCATCTGATGGACCTGTTTAGGAGCATTCTGGGTTTCTATTTTTAAACAAGAACTTTTCTCTTCATGTCAGAGGACTAGGCAGTTGTTCTCAACCTTGCCCCCATCCCCAGACTCACTTGGAGAGCCTGCTAAGTCTATTCCAAGGCCCTATCACTGATATTCTTGTTCATTAGGTCTTACTTTGTTCCTCAAAGTATTTTTAAATTTTTATCTTGAGATGTAAACTATATTACAGCTTTCAAGCCATAGTCTTTGATCTTCAGTAGGTGCTTCAAGTCTTCACTTTGTACAAGTAAGGTTTGTGTCATCTACATAACACATGTTGTTAATGAGTCTTCCTCCAATCCTGATGTCATATTCTTACTTATATACTCCAGTCTCTCTAATTTGTGTAGCGCTCAGGTTGAATATGTGAAGAGAAAGGATACAACACTGATACACATATTTCCTGATTTTAAACAGGCAGTATCTCCTTGTTCTATTAGAATGGCTGCTTTTCGGTCTATGTATAGGCTTCACATGAACACAATTAAATATTCTGAAATTCCTATTCTTCTCATCGTTATCTGTGACTGTCATTTGTGTTATAGGATGTATTTTGCCCCCCCCCCAATAGGATTTTGGAATTCTAACCCCTATAGTTAAAAATATGGCACTGTTTGAAAAAGAGAAGAATTCTTTTGTTATGCTAACGAGGCTATAATATGTAGTTGTTGTTGTGCACCAACAAGTTGGAACCAACCCATAGTTGACCCTCCAGCAGTTTTCAGAGGCAGTTCATCACACAGGAGAACATTGCCTATCCTTCTTCTGCGGAACAGCTGGTAGATCTAACCACATGTCTTTGGGATTGCAGTGCAGCTTCTTACCACTAGGCCACCAGAGCTCCCTATAAAGTGTAGGTTGGGTCTTAAACTTAATAGTTTGAGATATAAAAAAGACCAGTGTACAACCAAAGGGAAGATAAACACCAAGAAAATGAGGGCGTTCCAAGGGAGGCCAAGGCTCATAAGCAGACATGCAAAACAAGAGAAGGAATGAACACTGTCAAGACCCTGATTGTAATGACCTTTTGCTTTCTTCATGGATATCTTTAATACGATTCTACAACTTGTCTGGTCTTCAATCATTAATGTTTAATGAGTTAAATCTAATCTTAAAATGGCCTTTAAATTCACTTCAGATGCACTCAAGGCCATATTTTCTATCCTATCACTTACAGTTTTGGTGGCCTAGTGTTCTTCAGGGTTCTGAACAATGGAGACAATATAAATTTAGAACTGATTCTTCTTGATTATTTAATCCTCACAGATTCTTATTCATACCACATGCCCAAGCTGGTGATACAAATATTCTTTATATCATCTTCAAGCAGAGGAAGAGTTCTCTTCTTTGTGTTATTGGGACATGCTTTTCAGATTCGTTAGATATAGAGTTCAATTCTAGTCCCCAGAACATTCACTTCAGTCTCAAAGGCATATGTTTTGAATTCACCTCTGAAAATCTGATGGAGGGCCAGCTATATGTCAGTTATGACGCTACAGCTCACATCAACAACATCATTCACAGCATTGTACTTTGGGATAGGTCTGAAAATCCTCCTTTTGATACTGAATGCCTTATCATCCCTCTTCAGTTTGTCCCGTCTGATTCAAAATGGCCAACATTAGTCTATCTCAGTTCACTAATGCTTTTAATGTCAATTTTTATGCATTCCGTTTCACTTTTGACAACTTCCAGTTTTCCTGGATTCATACTTTGTACATTTTATATTCCAATTGTTAATGGTGTTTGCAACTGTTTCTCCTCATTTTTTAGTGCTTTTTAACCTTAGGAGCTCACAACTCTCAACAGGGTAGATTGACATAGTGACTGCAACAATGTGAATGTTGGAAATCATGAGAATGGCACAGGATAAGGCAAGGTTTTAATCTGTTGCTCTTAGTGTTACTATGAGTCCTAGTTGACTCAAATAACAGCAGTTGATGACTTTCTTCATAAGAAATTCTTCAGCCACTGGACTTTTCTGGTTTTGAGATGAGTGACAGCATGTAGAGTTGATTAGTTTCTTTTCTCTCACTTGCTCCAGAGCTCTTCTGAGGCATCCTCTGAACCTTGTTGCTCACAATCTTTGACTACGCTCAGCTCTCCAAGCAGAACTGTGGTGTGTCCTGATTTCAGCACTCCAGCTACCTCCCAGGGCTGTTTAGACTCTTCAGCTGCGAAACACAAGATGTCTTTAAACCCCCGGAAACAAAAGATCACAAGGACTTCTCAAGTGATCGTAAGTCCTTCAGGAAGCTCAGGAATAAGTCCTTGTATTATTTCTTTATGAAATGAAAAAAGAGTTCCAACATTTGCAATTTGCCCAAGGAAAATTCTGTGATTTAGAGAACTCATATTCTTGATACTGTTGTCATTAGGTACTGTGGTATGGATCTAAACTCATAGTGACCACATGACAGTAGAACTGCTCTGTAAAAAGAGCAAGGGCCACATGGAGATGGCCATTATCTGATCTCTACTAACTCCACAAGGGGAACTGTCCCAACCAACAACAACCACAACAGAAAACCAATTCCCATTAGGTTAGTCATGTCCCCCACCTTCCTGCACCTCTTTCTACTAATTCCAATACTGATTTTACTTTACTGCTCTACTGGGTCCAAAATACATTTCAATAGCTTAAAGTGCATACCGAACTATACTCATGATTATAGGGGTTATTAGGGAGGTAAAAAAAAACAAACCCAAACTCAAACCAACACAACAACACACTATCTTTCAGGCTGGCAGCAGTATATAATCACTCAGTCACAACAACTTCCAAAATGTACTCACAGGCACGTCACCCTTAAGCCTCATGGCTTTAGACCAGTGTTCCAAAGCTCTTAATCCTACCAATTATGGCTTTCCCCACCCAGCCCTCCCACAAATTTTCGATGAAGGCTCTTAACTCTGGTTCCAGGGGGTGGCAATCTCAAGATCAGCTCTGTTTCATATCTGGTCTCTGGCTCTCTGCTGTGGCTGCTGTAGGCCCTGGTCTGAGTGGCATGGGAATTCTCTACTTCTTTTCTGGTGATGAGATTCCCAAAATCCGCTGTTGAATCTGCTCCATTTAGTGGCAAAACTAGCCAATCCCCTTGTTGATAGGCTAATACACTCTATCCACTTGGCAAAGTCAAAGTCTGTGGATAAGAAAGTAATTTTGAACAATAAACCTTTGACACCACATGCTCCATAAAATTTTCTTAACTGTTATCTTTCCAGAAGCCCCAGAAGCATAGTGATTAGGCTGCCAATCATGATTAGAACCCATCAGCTGTTCAAGGGGAAAAAGATGAGGTGGTCTCCTATTATAAAGATTTACTGCCTTGGAAACCTGATGGAGAGTTACCACGAGTCATAACAAACTCCATAGTAGTATCTTGTTGTTGTTGTTAGGTGCCATCGAGCACAACTCATAACGACCCTATGAACAACAGATCTGAATCCTGTCCTGTCTTGTGCCATTCTCACACTTCCTGACACACTAGAGCCCATTGTGTCAGTCACTGTGTCAATCTACCTGATTAAGGGTCTTCCTCTCCTTTACCAGACCTCCACCTTTCCAAGCATGGTCTTTATAGAATCAGATAAATCAATTTGATGGCACACAGCAATAATAGGTGTTTAAAAGGATGTGCCAGCAAGCTGAAAAATTTACTCTGGTCAAATAGCCAATCTCCCAGCCATCCTGGGCTGTGACTCAAACCAACTAGTAAGTCTTCATCAGCTTTCTGAAGCTATAAATCTTCACAGGAGGAGACTGTTCACCTTTCTCCCACAGAGTGGATGACAGATTCAAACTATCAATCTATTGGTTAACAGCACAACACACTACACCACCAGAGTTCCTTGGACTTTAAGTAAAGGGTTGTAAATGAGAGCTAGAAAAGACTGAAAGACTTATATTAAAGCACAGATAGTTCATGTACTTGCCCAAAGTCAAACACTGAGGTAGTACTGGTCCAGAGTCTCTCTACTACCCCTGTTGACTCTAGCTTAGACATCTCAGTGTGTTTTAGAAAGTAGACAAAGCAACATTTAAAGGATAGTTGCCAGGGTCAGGTGAGAGGAGTCCTCTGGTAGCACTATGAAGATCTCCTTAGTTTGGAAGTTACCCGTTACTGTGTGCCAAGCTCTATATCTATATCATCCCCTGGATACCTTACCACAGATATAGGACATGGCAACTGTTGACTGAGAGAAAGGGCACTGTGGCCCTTCTTGCTTCTTCTGGTAGCCACACTGAGAAATAGCCTGAACTATAGCCTCTGAAATGCCCACTCATCTCCCACTCCCATGACTCCCCCTGACGCATGGGTAAATCCCAATGCCTTTTACAATACATAGGCTCCTATCACAGAATGGCTCAGATATGCAAGTCCTCCCAGACATATTTCCTTATCCCTAATGAGGAGACAAAGAATCAGAGTAGAGCTCTTCCAAGGTCACTCAACTAGGAGGTGATGAAGCACTTATTTGAATGCAGGTTCATCAGTCTCCATTGATAAAAAAAAAATAATAATCTAAAGTCAAGTCTGTTTTTGAAGGCCCTTCAAGGGAGAGCATGACGGTTTATTTGTATGTCTGCCTTTAATGCATGCCAGAAAGGCTTATCCTAAGCAAATTCCAGATGCTATTCAGTGCAGCACTACTCTGACATTTCCAGAGCTACACTGTAATTATCTGCAAACTTTGTTTATTCTAAGCTAATTCCAACCCATTTGGTGTAAGGGCTGAACCCTTCATCTTTAACTCTATTCCCTCCCAACAAAACTCCAGTCTCCTTTCTTCTTTGGAATTGGAAAAACATAATTCATGCTTTCACTAAATACCCTGGAACAAAGTCAAACAGTATTTGAATTGGACTCACAAGCTTGGCAAGCCAAATTGGAGAATACCATTGTTGATGGAGATGTGACTGTTGTCAGACCCACCAACCCCATTTTTAGACCTTCTAAGTGAGGTTCACTGATTTCTTGTTCATGTCACTTAGGAATCTAAGTGGGGTTCACTAGTTTCTTGTGCATGTCACTTAGATATCCAGCCAAACCAGTCAAGTTGATTCTGAATGGTGATAGCCTCATATGTAGCAGAGCAGACTGTGCTTCACAGGGATTTCAATGGCTGATTTTTCATGAGCAGATTCAAGACCTTTCTTCCAAAGTGCTTCTAGGTGGACTCCAGCCTCTAAATTTTCAGTTAGCAGCTGATTGTATGAACTCTTTAAGAAGCTCTGGTTGTCTTTTGATTCATGGGTTATGCTGACAACTGAAAAGCCACCAGGATCTGCAGTGGAGAAAGGGGGGCAATCTCATCCCATGTGGTTCGTAGTCACTGAAAATCCCTTGGAGGGCCCTTCAGCTAGGAGTTGGTTTGAACTTGACAGCACATAGCAACAACAGCATGAACTCTTTACACCACTCAGGGACTCCCTCGGAGATCAGAAGCTCCAAATCTGAACAAGATAATTTTTTAATAAATTTTATATTTGTTGCTTACAATGTTTATATAAATTGTGTTTTACACTATTCTTTGTTCATACTGTGTTTAATACAATCATTCCCATCCATTATGTTTTATAAAAATCAATCACCATTGGACCTTGCCCATCATTACTCTATCTTTTTTTTTTTTTTATTCTCATTTGCTTTGCCCCCTCCCGCCACACTCCAAACTGTGCAGCCTTGTGGTTTTGCACCTACCTATCCTCACCACTCTGCTTCCACCCCTTCCCCCCTTGGGTCTCCATATATGTTTTACTAGTTATGCTTCTGTGTTTATAATAATGGTCTTATGCATTATTTGTCCCTACGAGACTGAGTTATTTCACTCAGCATAATGCTGAGTTATGTAGTATTTTTGAAATTGTTGCTCCTGAGTGCTGCATAGTATGCCATTGTATTTCACAATTTCTCAATCCATTCAGTTGTAGTTGGATATTTGGGCTGATTCCATATTTTGTGATGGTGAATAAAGCTACTGTGAACATTGGTGAGCAGATCTCCATTTATATCTCAGTTCTAATTTCCTCTGGGTTTATTCCTTATAGTGGAATAGCTGAATCATATAGAGTTTCTTGAGGAAACACCAAACTGTCTTCCAGAGTGGTTGTACCATTTTACAATCCCACCAACAGTGTATGAGAGTTTCCACCTCTCCACATCCTTTGCAATATTTATTGCTTGCTGTCCTACTAAACGTTGCCACTGCTATTGTGGTAAGAGGTATCTCACTGTCGTTTTTATTTGCATCTGTCTTATTGCCAGTGATTTTGAGAATTTCTTCATGTGTCTGTTGGCTATCTGAATGTCTTCCTCTGTGAAAAGTCTTTTCATGTCTTTTGCCCATTTTATAATTGTGTTACCAGTTGTTTTCTTGTGGAAGCCCTGTTAAGATTGTGTAACTTTTGATATGAGATCCTTGTCTGAGATGGTATTGACAAATGTTTTTTCCCCATCAGTAGGTTTTTCTTTTCACTTTGTTGGGAAAGTTTTTGATGTGCTCAGGGATTTAATCTTTAGGAAGTTCCATTCATCAATTTTATCTCCTCCAGATTGTGCATTTCTGGCTGTATTTGGGAATCTATTTATACCATAGACTAGGCTATCTAGGCTTGGTCCTAGTGTGTCTCCTATAAACTTTATGGTTTTGAGCTTTACTCCCAGGTCTCTGATCCACCTTGAGTTGATTTTTGTGTATAGTGTGAGATGTGGATCCTGTTTCAGCTTTCTGCAAGTAATAGTCCAATTTTGACAGCACCATTTGTTGAAGAGGTTCTAATTTCTCCTTTTATTTCCTTATCAGTTGACTATAGATAGCTGGGTCCATTTCTGGATTCTCAATTCTGTTCCATTGGTCTATGTGCCTGCCATTGTACTAGTGCCATGCTATTTTGGTTACTACCACTGTGTTTTGAGGTCAGGGCTATGCCTCACACTTCATCTTTGTTTTTCAGAAATGGTTTTCTTATTCTGGTCTCTTTTCTCTCCAAATAAACTTAATAATTTCCCTTTCGATCTCCTTGGAAAATGAATTTGGTATCTATGTTGGGATTGCATTGAACATATAGATTGCTTTTGGTAGAATTGTCATTTTCACAATATTGAGTCTTCCTATCCATGAACAAGGCACATTTTCCCATTTATTTAAGTCTTTTATTGTGTCTCACAGAAATTTTCTGTAGTTTTCTTTGTATAGGTCTTTTCTGTCTCTAGTTAGGTTCTTTCCCAGGTATCT